CTTAAATGGAAGAGCAGCACCTAGTACCCCACTGCCGCCAAGGCTAAGGGAGAGGCGAGGGTGCTGGGGAGGAGGGTGCTGGAGCAACCCCTGCGTCCCCGCATGCCGATGCCAGCGGACAGGCAGAGCCGTCCCGCACACAGCAGCCTTTCTCCTGCCTCACACTGCCCGCTCTGTTCCCCGCTCCCGAGGCCGCCCAGCTCTCGCCGCCCAGCGACGACGGTCCAGGGGCCCCTTTCCATCACGCCCTGAATCGCACCATTATGCCGCGCTGGCCAGAGCCAAGCAGCTCTCCCCAAACGCCTCCCCTGAGCCGCCGCACTGCAGGCAGGGAAACACGCTGCAGTAATCCAATACTTTTCCTGGGCTGTGACCAAAAATCGGGGCATTTCAGCCCAAAGGAAAACACCTTGGTGTGATGCAATGGCCAAAGAGTAAAAGCTTAAAAAAAAACCAACCAAACAAACAAAAAACCCTCCAGTGCAGCCCGAGAGCGCTGGTGGGGATGCTCGTGCTGGCCCTGTGGGATGCTGCTGCCTTCCCCGGGGAGCACGTACCTTGGAGATGTAGTAGACGCACTGCTGGAAGGTGTACATGATCACCTCCTCCAGCACCGTCATCGCCTCCTCGCTGGCTGTGATGGTCGAGGAGAACAGAGACTCCTTGGAGCCTACGGCGTAGAGAGGAGGATGAGGGGACCAAACCTGCAGCAGCAAGGCAAGCCGAATTGGCCGCTCCCCAGGTTCCCAAGGTGGGGGTTATTAGTGTTCCCAGACTGGCATCACCCCCGCAGCATCCCTCAACAGGAGTAAAGAGGCTCCTTTAGCCCCAGAAAGTGCCCGCCGGCCATCTCCCACCGCTCACAACGCTGTGGGCAGCACAGCCCCGCAGGCAGCCCAGGGCTGTACCCCTCCTTCCAACAGCCTGTCTGTCCTACGGACATTTTACCTTGCTGCATAGACCAGGAGGTTTTTGAGGCTGATTTAATCCCTTTTTCCTTTTTTTTTTTTTTTTTTGTTTTGCTAGCATTAATACAGGCTCACCAGTGAGCAATTCTGCAGGGCTGCCTGCAAATCCAGGTGCCCCCACAGCAGCCGGGGTGGGCAAAAAGCCACCCCCCCGCAGGCATTAACCACAAGCTGCTGGGGTGGAAAGGGGAAGCTCAGCTGCGAACTCAACACAACCTGGCCCTGAAGCCAAGCAGCACCATGGCACGATGCGAGGCTGCTCCTCTCGTACAGATGACCCCAGCCTGCACCGCGGAGATGTCCCTGCTGATGAGGATTACGGGGGGTTAAAGGAGCATCCCGGGGGCACTGACCACCGCTTGTAACCGAGGATTAGCAAAGTCCCTCCGGCCGGTGAAACAAGCAGGATGGCGCATCCAGCCCTACCTCTGACATCCAGCTCCTCCTCCATGCTCTGGATGTAGGTGGGCGATTTCTGCTGGACAAAGTAGAGGACCTCGATGGCGTTGGCCATCCAGAAGAGGATGTGCTGTAGGTCCGGGAGGAGGTCCGTGATGGTGAAGCGGGACAGGGTGGCAGGGTCCTGGCTGGGGAGACACAGCAGGTTGCTGCTCCTTGGCATCCCCACTCAAGCTTTTGGGGAGAAAACAGCCAGCCTGGGGCAATGTCAGAGAACTTTTGCATCCCCTCATCTCCAAGCCCAGCACCCCGCTTAGGAAGACCCTTTACAAGCAAAAATCTGATGGTTCTGGCTCTGTGGAATGGCAAAGGGGACCCTGTGGGGACCAAGGTGGCTGAGAGCCACCTGGCCTTTGTGGGGTGCCACTTTTGGGGGAGACTCCCCCCTCATACAGCTGAACTGCAGTTAATATTCATGGCTGGAGAGCAGCTCTCCCCAAGAAGTATGTGCTGTTCCTGCCAGCTCTGGACAGTTAAACCCAGCCCGCCCGAACTGGGCTGTTCAAAAATAAAACAAAATAAATAAAAAGCATCTGGGAAGTTTCTCAACTGCTGAACTGCTTTTTCCTGCTGTAGGAAAGGCCTGGGAAGCATCCCTGGAGCTCGTCCTAAAGGAGAGCTCACAGCAAGCACCAACAGTTTCTCCAGATGCTGCTTTGGAGCCTGGATTTTGGAGATGGCTGGGAAGCTGACCCCCCCACACTGCTGTGATGGCCCCAAAGCGGTGCTCCCCACCCCGGCACACCCCGTGCCACCATCCCTGCATGCACACATGCAACGCCAGCCCCATCCCCACTCCACCGGGGGGGTCTTCAGCATGAGTGGGGTGAGACCCTGCACCAGGGCCATCCCTGCTACGTCCCTCGGTGATGCTGAAGGCACATGTGCAAAGCCTTGGCCACGTCTTGGATCGGAGAAGACCCCACAGCTGCTGCAGGTCCTATTCCCTCCCGAGCTCGCCTGCTTTTCCAGCCCCACATATTCCCAAGCAGGGGCCTTGCAGGCACCATGGTGAAAGGACCAGAGAGCTGAACGCATGGGATTTAGCAGGAAAATTCAGCGTGCATTGGTGCCGCCAGGCTGGGAGGGGAGTTTTAGCCAGCCACAGACTCCCCTCGCTCATGGAGGAAGAAGAGGGTTGAATTCTCCCCGTTTTGGGGCAAAACAAGGCAGGGCGGCAGGTCGCACTTACTGCTGGGACTGCTTTTCGGCCAGCTCCCGCGTCCGTTCCTGGGCAGGGAGAAAAGGGGAAAGCAAAATGAAAACCAGGGGGAAGGGGAGGGCACGAGCATCACCCTGACCA